TTTCCCAACCTTGCACCCAATGGCTCCCCAGTCTCATTTCATTTCCTCAGACAAAATAAGAGATTGCACTGGGTGCCTGCTAGTTCAAAGAGGGCACATCTTGTTTCTCTTGCGTCTTACCATCACCTTGTGAGTCAGAGTTACTTGTTCAGTGCTGAGTCTACAGATGAGAAACTGAGGCCCAGACTGAGAAACTCCTTCATGGTCATCCATGTATAAGTGGCAGAGTTGAGTTTACTTCCATTTCTTTAACCCTAAGTGTTTCCTTGTTTCTCCTTTTTTTTTTTTTTTTTTTTCTCTATAATGGTCATCCACATTCTAGGGAGAAAAATGATCTGCTGAGTGTATTAGTTGTCTGCTTGGCCTCAAAATAGCAGACTGACAGCATGACTGGTCTCACTGATTCATGGGATAAAACTTATTTTTGGAAATAAGAATCTCATTTACTGAGAGAAATCTAAGCTCAGACAACATATTGAGAGACTATTAGAGGCTTCTCTTTGTTTCCATATAATTCCAGGACATACTTTTCACAGTATGAACCAGGCTGGTTATCACTGGACCTAGTTTCTTCATTAAATATTGGGGCACAGGACTCATTCCATGCAATGAGTATGCTTTTCCATGCAATTAGTATACAGTTATGTATAGAAGTGAGACCATAAAATACAGCAGAAATGTAGAGCGTGCACTTCCTCAGTGCAGAAGTGGGAAGAACAGATGCCAACTATGTCTTGCTGATACTTAGGTTCAAAGGCAGGAAACAAATCCTATAAATGCCCTCTCACTTAACTTCTCACTCCAGTAAATCATTGTTGAAGAGATGAACTTCCTATGTGAATTTTTTTAAAAAACCTGACTTGAAAAGTTAGCTTCTCATATATGAAGCATAAAGTGGCAAGAAATGTGATTTTGATACACTTTTCTTCACAGTGGGAAAATATAGTAGCTGCTTTTGAAAAAAGCAGAAGAATCCCAGAGTTTGGGGAAGAAGTGGTGAGTGACTGAAGTGACCAGCATATTTTACAGTGTTACTCTTGGCACCTTTTGGGGGGAGACACAAAATGTTAGACATCTCAAATAGTATACATTCTCCAATTTGTGTTGGCTTTATCTTTGTGGAGTGTATCAAATGACTACAGATATTGTAATTAATTTTTTAGGAAGCTCTCATTTGAGTGGTGGGTCCCATTCGTGAGGGGTTTGCCTTCTCGATAATAACAGACCATGACACCAGGTTGCCTGTGATTAAAAACTCAATTTGTGCTGGAAGGAAAAAATTGTGTGACCCACTAGAGAAACAGGCCTGCAGGGTAATAGGGACTCAGTCATCACTGTCGAACTGAAGTGTCAATGTGCATTTTGAGTTATTGTAAAGAAAAAGATGAATTGATGTTTCAGCTGGAATAAGCCAAGATTTGAGCACGTAGTTTAGGAGAGAAGGTTAAGTGTCTTGACTGAAGCAGATGGTGGAATGTGGCAGATAATGGAGGCAAGCATAGGTGGGCAATTAAGACAGGGATAAAAAAAAAAAAATGATTACCAGGCTGAGCAATCTAGAATTTAAAGGGACAAGTTGAACTTTGTATGTGCAGGGGGAGGGAAAGCAATGTGGATGTGTGTGTGTTTATTAAAAAAAAATAAAACCTGGTAGGTATTTTATTTGTACCTGGAGCTACTTTTGAGGACTTCTGCTTACTTTCCTCAAGACTAAGAATGAGGAAGAGACAATGCTTGGTCATAGCATACGACATTGTGACATAGTGACCTCTACTTCCTCTTCTACTTGAAAGCTGGACTGTTGGAAGAAACCTGTTTCATGAAGACAATGAGCGAGAACCCTGGTTATCCAAGAATGTGAGGACTGCCTTTTCTGCTTGAAAACCAGCCAAATACTTAGTGGGCAACATGTTTGCTGGTTTTCTAGCAATTAGAAGTGGAGGTGGCAGTCTGGACTAGCAGCCGTGACCCAGTGGCCCATGAACAGGTCCAGGAATCAGGAACTGACACTTACTGATAACTTTGTACAGTTTCTCCAAACCCACCTCAGCAGCCAATCTTTGTTCTGAGTTCATAGCCTAGTTTGGAAGTTTAATGGTAAACAAATTCCATCATAATTTGCCCAGACCACTGTGCCCAAATAACAGAAGAACAACATCTGGGTGATCCCCTTAATAAAAGAGAGAGGTCACTTGAAAAAGATGTGGTTGGAGTTAAGCTCCTTCCTGTTCACTGATAGATTGTGATGTGAGAGGCTGCAGCTGAACTGCAGCTATCAGAGGTAGTGCAGACCCAGGAAAGAGCTGGGTGACAGGGGTGTCCTTCTCCCATTTTGAATACTCCCATGGGATCGGGCTGATGGAGAGAGAACTCATACTCTACTGCTCATCGGAACTTCAGAGACGGGGAGCATAGAGGGTCCCTGGAGTCACAGAGTAGCTAGAACAGAATCACTAAGGTGGCTCAGTTTTCCTCAGAGGAGCAAGAAAGCAGGGGCAAGAAATAAAGCTACCTGAAAATCTACCCATTGTACATAAGTATACAGTTCAGTGTTTTCCAGTAAGTTGCAAAGTTGTGTATCCATCAGTTCAGTCCAGGTTTAGGCTCCCTCAGTCTCCCCCAAATCTCCCGGGTGCCTGTGGTGCTCTGTCACTGTCCCCACCTTTAGCCCCAGGCAGCCAATACCCTGTGATAGATTTGTCTAGTTAAGATACTGCATAGCAATGGGAAGCCTACAATAAGATGGTGGTGGTTGTTTTTGTATATGGTTTTCATTTAATCTGATGGAATGCCATCCACGGTGTAGCATGTTTCCACATTCATTTTCACTGCAGAGTGCTTTTCCATTGTATGAATATACCGCATTTTATTTATCCATCCATCCATCAGTTGAGGCACTTTTTGGCTATTGTTTGCACTTTTTGGCTATTGTAAATAAAGCTCCTACATTGGTTGACTGTGAACTGCCATAACAAATTAGCACAAACTCGATGGCTTAAAACAGCAGAAATGGACTCTGGCAAAGCCCTGGACAATAGGGTCTTACACCAAAGTATTTACAGGCTGTGTCCTGCTGGAGTTTCAGGGGACAGGCCATTCCTTGCCTCTCCAGCTCCAGGTGGTTATGGCTGTCCTTGATGTCTGTCTTGCTCCATCTTCAATCTCCTTCTCTCCCTTACTAGGATACATGTGATTGCACTTAGTGCTCACCCTGATTATCCAGGAAAAGCTCCTACTCCAGATCCTGAATTTACTCTTCTTTTTTTTTTTCTTTCCCATGTAAGGATACACAGGTTCCAGGGATTTCTGCAACTATCTTGGGATGGTGTGTGTGTGTGTGTGTGTGTGTGTGTGTGGAGTATTTTTCTGCCTACCATAACAACTGTAAATATCCACATAAAGTTTTTGTATATGTTTGTTTTCATTTTTCATCATAGATAACTGAGAGTGCAATTAGTAGGTTGTATTATAAAGTTGTGTTTATCTTTTTAAGAAAATGTTTTCTAAAGGGATTGTATCATTGCATGTTCCTGTCTTCTAGCAAGGTATAAAGGTTCCAGTCTTTCTACATTCTTGTCAGGTGCCTGTCTTTTTATTTATTTTTTATTTTTACTATTAAT